CAAAAATTTGTATGAAAACTTCCACATACATGAAATATAGGAAATGAAGGAGTAGATCTATCCCTGCAGATGATTGAGGAACATATGACCCCATCTCGACGTCGCTGAAGGGTTAAACTGTAGGCGAAGAGAGTGCGGGGGAAGCACTTCTCGTGCACAACAATCCGACTCAGTCGATATTCGGCTCAAGTGGCCGCAAATGGAAATGACGATGATGCGAGCAGAGCGATAAGGAGGAGAGTTGCGGGGGCGGCGCAACAAAGTGGAATTTCTGATGTCTCGCGGATGCACGTGCAGAAGCCACTCTCTCGCGAAAGGAGAGTTGAAAAGCCACAACTCGCGAGATTGAGCGCTGCCTCGCGGCTGATCGCTGGCGATTTTTTCCCCCGTCATGCACTCAATATCGCGAAGTTTGGGCTACTCACGTTTCGCGGGCGAGTTGAAGGATTACGGGTTAAAGAGCAGTGAAAAAGGTGATCTGACGAGATGAAGAGAGCAACGGAGATGCTGAGCGGTGGATGAAATTAATGAGCAGTCTCTGTGGTGTAAAGTATTAAAATCTTTCAATTACCTGTAATGACAATAATGATTCTCTGCACAGCGCGAAATGAACATAGGAAACGTGCAATTATTGTGGTGCAGAAGATGCAAGAAAAACGTTACTTTTCCCTCCTCACGGCGCGATGATGATTTGCCAGGCAGTCAAATGATTTAGCCTGACTTCTTCAGCTGGAAGTTGTCTTCTTACCACGACAAAAATGCAAAATGCTAACGCGTGAAGAAACTGGTTGACCAGCTTCAGAGTAAACAGTGTTCTTCCACTTCTTCTGGACTGTTGATCAATTGACTTGATGCTGGGCGATGTTTGCTCTGGCGTCCAATGAAATTGTACTATTGTTGCATGTGATTTGCCGCAGATCTTGCCACGAAGAGACGCAGTACAGGTGGTCGAGTGATTGCGGTTTCTGGGCTCTCTCTCTCTCCTTTCATCCCACACACACTGGCATCAATGCCAGGAGGAATTGAGTGCGCGGCGATTGTGCATGAAAGATGGAAAATGAGATGAGATTTCTTCGCTGATGATTTGAATTTTTGCCACGGCCAAGGGGGAGATAATATGTCCACAGCCTGTAAAGTTCTGCTCAGAATCACTTCTCTAACTCCTTGAAGTCTTTGTTGTCTCAAGCAGACGGTTAAGATCTTCAAATGCTTGAAGTTTGATTCTCAACTAATCTGTGAGGTTATGAATTTGCTTAATAATCTTTATTCGACTTTTTCCAATTCATTAGGGCTCATATTAAAAGAGAAATAGATTGTAATTACTTCTTAAAAAGATAAGAATTATTGCAGTTACACGGAAAATGAAGAAAAACCTTCAGAAAAAGACATTCTTCAGATGTTTTTGAGGTTATGTTTGGCTATTTCTCCACAAAATTGCCAAAATCTTTTAGCAGAAGCTTTTAAAGGACCAGTTCCACTTCTTAATGCTTCCGCTGAATTGTGTGCAGCTTCCGAGCGCACTATCTCCCCCTTGGTCGCGGCAACAGGGCTGCGAGGAGATAATTTAGCGTGGCGAAGTGAATGTGGTGCACGTCTCGATCCGGAGCTGCCAGTGAAGGTCCTCGAGTGGATCTGGCGAAGAGGCGGCAAAAGGGAGCGCGCAAGAAGGTTGGCGGATAATCGAGAGCCACATCATCGCGAGCTGGAGCGCGGCCGGCGAAAGGGGCGCAGGCAGAGGCTGATCGCCAGCGGAATGGAATGCGGTTTGGCGGCGCCACGGAGTCTGTAGGACACCTGCACTCTGCGGCATCGGAGATTGTGTGTTGGCAATCGATGGGAAGAATCTGAGAAGATTCATGGGCCTCGGCCGGGCACTGCGAGAAATCCAATATCGCCGGAGATTTATTGGCTCAATCCGCGCACTCTTAGCATTGTTCCAAAAGTGTAGAAGGCAAAAAACTGACGACCATCAACTAACTTAATCGCTCTTGCACATCGTGAATTCTCCGTTAGAACCTTCCGGAGATACTCAGCACTCCGGCATTCTCTCCCCATTAATTTTCACATGCTCTTCTCGCCCAGTTGACTTGCTTAATTCCCGAAGTCACCCCACTTTGAGGCAGGAGGACAAGGGAGAAAGAGTCCCGGCGTAATTGCCGCGGTGGTCAATGTGGTGTGGAAGTCTGTGAGAAGTTACGCTCAAATTAATTCACCTGTTATTGCGTGCACTGAGCATTTGTATGCTCGGAGGTTAGTTAGATTTCGAGGTGGCAAAGAAACAGGTGGCGATTTTGTTGACTTATCTTTCTCAAGTATGCGGCAAACGTTAGAAAAAAAGACTGCGTTTCATCCCTTTGAGGATAATTGGGTCATATAATATATAACAATACTTCTGAATGTCATTTTTATGGTAGGAAAATGACGAATTCTACGCATAATACAAATAAGAAACATTCTTGATCAGAATCATATCGCCTATTTATTGGCTGAAGATAAGTTATTCCAGCTATTTGTACTTGTAAATTAATTTTTCCTCTCAGTGTTTTAATCAACTTAAAAGTTGAATATTCAGAACGGCTGCAGATCCGAACGCCCTTTGCGTCACAGCGACTCATAAGTTAGAATTTGCGTCGATTGCAGCGGCGCGAACAAACACTCTGGGCGATAGTCTGACTTATCGTCCCTCTCATGGTCACTGCGATGAATTAGTCATTCTCCAGCCTCGACATCTCTCAGTGCACTCCCAGCACAGTGAGAATTTCTTGGCGCAGCAGCAAATTTATTGCTCTAATTAATATTTTTTCAGTCACTAATGGGCACAGCGCGAAACATCAAGCTCAGGTGTACAATTCATTTTTTGCCCCATTTTATCTCCCCATTCGCATTAAAGAGAGTTGTGCAAAAAAGGCACGGTTATTATTCGCAGATGAGAAAATCCAGTCACGCTTTTCATGATTTTATGCTCTAAAATTTTGTGTGCACGATCTTTTTTCGCGCTGGCGAAAAAACAGCGACTTTAGTGTCTCTTTTCGTCTGAAGGATTATTCAATCGTGTGAATATGGGTCTGATGAAAGGCTCTCTCGCTGATGTTTTGCAAGATTTCTGGTGCGCTTTCTCCGCAATGTTGGCCCGGCGAAAAAAGCTCCAAAGCATGCGGGCTTTGTTTCAAACTGTGAGCATCAGCAAAATGTGAATTAATAAGCTTTAATTCGCTCGTGTGCAGGCAAGCGAGAGAGACAGAAAGAAATAATGAGGGAAATATATCATTTGGGCCGTGCGGAGAGAAAAGTAAAGCATTCAATGGGCGAAGGAGGACGAGATCAACGTGTAAGTTCAGGAGGTCAGCCACGTACGATGGCATAATGCAAAAGAGCCCTTCTCTTCCTCCTTCACTCTGGCTCCAATTGTTCCAACCATCATATTTCGAGATGATCTCTTTGTTTTCCAAGCATCACTCCCACAAGAAAGACAATCATCTGGCGTTTGTGTGCATCAAAGTCTCTTTTTCTTCCCTGTTTTCTTCCTGCCTAGATTGCACTGCGAGATCTCACGCCAAAGACAGCCAGTCAAGGTACAATCTTTCACTCCAAATCCCGCATTTATGCCAAGGGGACGATAATATGCCCTCAATCCGTACACCACTTCCAAATATGTCCAGCACTTGAAGTTTTAGGCTGTTTGCCAACTTAAAACCCCTTGTTTTGGGTATCTTTTCCGCCCATAACCTAAAAATATCTCTAAGATATCTCGAAACAAGTCTCGAAAGATTCCGTTTGGAAGCTTTCCAGATCACAAGATCATCTATTGTGATGTGCAAATTAAGTCAAAACTCCTAATTTAGAGTCAAAATCGCCCAGAAAGTTTTCTCAAAAACATTTTTCCGCATAAAAATAATCCAAAGAATCGGGTTAATTTGTCAGCAAAAGAAGCACTCAGGGAAGGAATGCTTGAATCTTCCGAACACTTCCAGAAGTGGAGCTGTACACCATTTCTGACTGTACTATCTCCCCCTTGATTTGTGCAATTCTCTTTGCCCTGGCGAATTGTGTCTCGGCGCAATTGTACTTAATCCTCCTCCACACCTTGTCGTTGCGGCTTTTCGTGCTCGCACCATTAGAAATGAAATTGTTTCGTGACTGTTGTATTTCCCACCGATAATTCCTCTTCACGTTCTTGTCTCTCTGTGTGCAATTTCTTCTCTCGCAGCCGGAGCTCCTCGTCTTTTGGTCAATCGTCACGCGAAGACTTTCGCACAGACACACATTGCTCTGGCTAAATGAAATATTTGATTGCTATTTGTCTTCCTCAATAGATGATGGAATAAATTAGCTCCATTGTGTTACTTCATCCCTTTCACACAATTTTTCACTTCTGTTCTTGCGCAATATTTACATTTCTCTCTTGGCGAAGCATTGAAGTCTTTTGTGCGCCGCACAGAGGAAAAGCCAAGTGTTGGCTTCTTTTTTTCGCCCAACAAGAGGTGTTATTGTGAAAATTACCAATTGATGTGTAATTTGATCCAAATTGAAATAAACAATTCAACCATTTGTTGCCAACAGTCGCGCGCTTGTGAAAAGGTCTCCAATTTTGTGTCTGCTACTTAACAGTATTTCTATATGGAAAAGCCAATATTACAGTTCACATTTTCTATTTGTCCTGTCAATATATCTGCATGTGAAACATGGAGTTTGAGAGAAAATATTCTTAGTACGGCGAATACAGTCACTTGTGCCAGTGAAATCATGTAAATACACCACTTAATATTGCCACCAAAAAGCATTTAACTACCAATTTTTGCAGTTGATTCGCTCTCCAGCTGAATTTGTTCCCGTCAACTGGCTGAAAATTGATTTGTATTGAAATTTATTGCACTGCCGTCTTTCACACACACACTCCGTGATATTTATCAGATCATGTACAACTTTTGCTGGCTAAATGTCAATAAATTCCGGTAGTTGTTCACTCCTTAATGCTTATTAGCATTACGGCTTCTCTCATTTCAGCAGTCGTCATAGTAATCGAAGTGATTGCTGTGGAAGACTGTGCACTGAATCACGTCGCCTGGAGGCTGCGCCAGGTGACCCAGAAAGATCGGTATCAGCGCCTTGGACAGGATGAGGAACACGAAGGGACGATCGGCGTGGAAGTTGGGGAAATCCACGCCAATGCGCTGCAGAACTCCCATCCACGAGATGATGCCCAGCTCGCTGCCCTCCTCCGTGATCTCCAGCCTCACACGCTGCCTCATCTCGCCAACCGTGAAGCGCGGACCCGCCATTGCGATGTCCAAGTCGGATCGGGTGAATAGCGATGGCGCGCCCATCTCCGCGATCACTCTCTTGGCGTCCACTTCGCTGTCAATGGAGAACTTGGGCAACTCCAGCGAGATCTTCGTCATCGTGAGATTCCTGTTGATCTCCAGCAGATGCTGCGCCGTCAGCTTCCTCACCAACTCCTCGAGCTCCTGCCCAAGCCACGGCAGGAGAATCCACATGTCGAAATGCGACGCGTAGGGAATTTCCACGATTTGCGCGCGCAACTCCGCGGATTCTGTATATCGCATGTCCGCCGGATGCTGCACCATGACATCGGCCCGGACTGTGCGGCCAGAGGCCGTGCGGAAGAGCTGCTTTCGCGTGCGACGCTCGAGGAACGGCACTCGCCAGGGGGCTTTGAAGTGGACGGCATTGAGGAGGATCATTTGCAGCTCCTCGTGAATCTCATCCGCATCAATGGCGTGGCGAATCTGGCCAGATGTCTGCTCTGCTGACCACTCATTAATCACCTCCGCCGCCAGCGCGGCCCTGGCGAAGTCGACCTCCTCAAATTGGTGCTTCCGATAGATCGGCTTCAGCCACACGCCGTGATTCACAAAGACGCGACTGGCGAGGCGCAGATTCCGCTCCGTCGCCAGCACTCTGTACACCAGCATCGGGTCCAGCTTCCGCAGCCCCAGGCGGGACTCCATCTCGAGGCGCGTGGCGCCCGTGGCCGCGGGATAGATCGAGGAGAGGAGCATCCGCGCGGCCAGCGGAGACATCACCATGTTCTCCTCCTCCGCAAAGGCGCTCTGCAAACGGCGGGAAAGCGTCAATTAAAGCTCCATGTGCAGCCGAACTCCATACCTGGTAGAATTTCAATATGAAATACGAGAGGCGCGCGTGATCTTCGGCTCGCAGATGACCATCGCTGCCGGATGTAGCCACAAAAGTCCCGCAAATTACCAACGCGATGACACACAATGAACCTTCCGTCACAAACATCTCGCCAGGCACATTATCAAGGCGCGCGGATCGAATGGCGAGTGACCAAAGCGGACAAATTGACACCCACCGAGTGCATCGTCTCCCGCGCAGGCCGCGATTAAAAGTTAATAATCCGTATTTAACGTCGATGTCTCAACATGTCGCCCATTAATGCCTTTCTCATAAGCCAACGCCGTAATTTGTGCGCAGCCATTTGGCCAGAAACAAACGGCTTTGGCGTCTAATTAAGGAAGCGCCATATAATATGATTAAAATTGCCAAATTCCCACACAATGTTTGCATTGTTCCAAAAGAGGTTCTTTCAGACAGAGAAACACGGTATAAATAGCGAATATTACACCTTGAAGGCGCGTTGATCATCTTCTGTTGACTCTTTGGCTTTGCAGAGAACTCTAGAAATAAATAAGTTGAGTTCTTTTAATTTAAGACAGCGAAATATTTGTGTTTAGTCGAATCGAATCCTTTATGAATGCAATCAATTTTGTGGGTGAGGAATCTTATGAAGAATGCTTATGATTTTGTTATGGTGGTTTTAACTGTCTGGTATTCTGAGTCACATTTGTCTTAAGTCAATTTGTACAGACTGAATATGACCGAAGTTTTGAAGTTGGATCAATCTGTGAATTTCACCATTTCCCATATAAATCTCCTTGAGTTTTTCCTTATTCAATTGACGCATTAGTCTGGATTTTGCTGACACAAAAGACTGGATTTTGGTCCTATTTTCAAATTACAAACTTCCAGTGCTGAAGAAACCCCGCGAAAAGCCAACATGTGCGCCTTCACAATGGCCAAGTGAACAGCAATTGGAGAGAACGTTGAAATTTATGGGGCTTCTTGTGTTTCACCCTCTGCAGTTAATTAATTTGGGGTTCGCGACTGATGAATGGATGCGAAGCCATAGCAAGAGTGACATTCTATAGTCTCCGTGAGATAGAATGTCTCAATTTCAATTGTCCGGCCGGGGATTCGGCGGAGAGCTGCGCTAGAGAATGATCCAGGGAGTGCTGGCATGAGAAGTTGACACCTGGTGCGAGAGTCAAAGCGTTGCGCGATGCTGGAGAACGATATTTATGGTGTGAAGGAGGAAAAATGGTGTGTCACATGGTGGTGTGTGCAATTTTACAGATTTATACATGAAATTGATATTATTTACAGCAGCAGCAGATTGAATGGTGCGCTGCCACAGCAATAACAACAATAATAGATAGTGTTGCATGGATGTAATACAAAACGCCTACAGGACGTTGGAATTGTAATTCCTCTCTCCTTGACTCGCGCGCGCTCTTCTCGGCCGACGAAGGTTCCATTTGGCCGTAATTGCTGCGTGCAAAAGCTCTGCAATTTCTCGGCGAATCGCGTGGAAAAGCGCGGCCGATATGGAGAAATGCGCGCGCGAACATCAGAAAATGTTGGCCAGTCTTGACTCTTGTGCTGCATTGGCTGTAAGTTCATTGTTTCCGGCTAATTTATGGGCGACACTCGCGAGAGTTTCCCATGCCGAGCTCCGCGGGAGTGATCGTGCAAATCACGCAGCTTTTCACTCAGCAGAAAAGGCAATTTATTCATCCACAGGCCAGAGAGTGTCGAATTTCCTCTCACGTCCAGGCGCTTTGATATTTATTAGCTGGAATTGGCGTGCAGATTTTTGGCACGAATATCGTCAAATGGGTGCGAAAGTTATGAGAATTGGCGGCTGGACAGGAGTGAAGTTAAATTGAACATTTTACAAGACACTTGAGACACGATTTAGCGACAATTTGTCACGTTGATCACCTTTTAAACTCAATGTCTTTCATTTGCACAACTCCTTTCTTGCCGCAATTTTGCTTTACGAACCGTCCAAATGCCATTTTCTCCGCGCACAACTTCGCCAAAGCCTCTTTTCATGTTCCACCACAGTCTGGAATTTGCTGAATTGTTTATTTATTTACCAAATCTCATGATTAATTGCATGCGGCGCGAGGAAAAAAGTGACAGTTAATTAATTGAGAGTTTCCTCAATTCGAATTTTTGGTAGCAATCAGGAGAATTTCAAACAAGACCATTTATTATGATCGCGTTGGGATCAAATTAATTGATGATTCTTGTTGAAGTGGATTAAAAAGAAATTTAACAGAGATGTATTTTGATCAGAAGCAATAAACAAGAGAACGGAAGTGTTCAAATATTAACTATTCTAAGCAAAAACTCTGCACTTCCTCAGAATCTTCACGTGGAAAAATCAGTTTTAGTTACTTAAAATAGACTCAGAGTCTAATTATATCCGAAAACATCATAATTCTTGCGCCTCAACTAAAATTATTTCTATTTATTGCCAATGACGATTTACTCTTCAGGAATTTCTTAATCAATTTTCTACCAACAAACAGCATTTATCATCTGTTGAAAGAGAAAAAGAGCAAATTTTAGCCAAATTGAGCATTTTACAAAAATTTTTCGTATGAAAAAACGAACATAATTTTGCCTTTCTATTTGTGACTTAAAAATTGATATGGAAAATCCTTCTATGCTGACGTATTTCTGTGGAAACTGATATTTTCTGGCAAATATCTTGTCATGCATTGTCTTCTTGGGAGAAAAATACAATGAATACAAGATTGCTTTCGCCACGTAGGATAAAAAATAACGATTTTCTTCACCCTTTTGCAGGTGCTTCGGAATGATATTCATTTTCATACAATCCACAATGATTTCTCCGTCTGTCGTTCGCGCGGTTTGCAGAGGGGAAAAACCTCTGGAGTGTATCGAAGGTGAGAGTCTGGAAGTCACTGCAGCTCCTCAAGCATTACATCCTCTGCCACAAGGTGTCTTCCTTCCAAAAAGCGGCTTCTGGGGCGAAAAAGCCAGCCAAATGCAACGGCGTAACGATCTTCGCCAGTTCCCATGGATGTTCGATTCGTGAGTCTCGGCGGAGGGAGACTGGCAATGAGAGGGGCTTCCCGGTGGCCACAATAGAGACGCTGTGTCTGTGCAGCCAGCCAGGTGTGTGACCCGGCCGGGTGTTCCTCTGACTTCTCCTGCCAACTCTCGAATCACGTCGCCGGAAGTGTGATTGAGATCTAATCGCGCGCGGGATGCAGAAGTGCATTTTCTGCGAGGCCTTTTCCACCGGATGACGCTGAAATGTGACGATAAATATTTTAATTATCAGCACATTTTGTCGGCGATTCCGCGGAAAATCGCACTGCTCGGCGGATATTTTAGGCAAAAGACGGGAATTGCGCGTGTTTGACAGATGCATCAAATTCGCATCATGTGAGAAAATCTATGCACACACAAGAGGGATCAGAAATATTCACATCTGCTGCAATGCACAATTTGCACAGGCCGCGCGATAATTGATGGCGTCAAATTCATTGGATGTTGATTTTGAGCTAAATCTCTCTGATTAATCCTTTTCTGTTTGCGACATTTTGACATCAGGTGCGGACATTTATTTATTAATGCGAAAATTACTGATGAAAATGGCCATTTTTCGCCAAGACACTTTCCTCCGAATGCGCGCCGCACATATTGTGGCTTAAATGCCACGCGAGAGACAATTAATCTATCCGGCTGTTGTGAATTACAAGACATTCATGCGACAATTTCTCTGTTGGACAGCATAAAAACGCCAACATACGGTTAATTCGAGGTTTCCTTATTGGCAGCGCAGCCAAAGACTCTCGTGTTACTTTCTAATTGAGTAATTGTGATACAGTTCAGCGCCGGAAGCTCTAGTTGAGCCGGGAGAGGAAGCCAGTGACTTGGAGAGCATCTATGGAAGCCCGTCAGGGAGAGAAGTTCACACGATTGCAATCCAGTTCCTCAGCTGTGCGTTTTTCGGCTACACTCAAATTGAGGAGCTAAATAGTCTCGAGTGCGTCGTTCCCCTGCGCCCGATGGCGTGCCTTTTAATCCATTATTACGCACAATGCCAAACACAATACAATGGCCAAAAATGCAGTGAACTCCTGCTGGTGCTTCCACACTATTATTGCAGCCCGACCAGCCGCACTTCAATGGCATATTGACTGTGTGATTTTCCTCCTCTCAATGTCAACATGCGATCGCGCTGGGATTATTGCGATATTAATTCACATTTTTCCATATTACACTCTATCGGGTGGGAAAGACGAGTTTCTCGATTGTGGGGTCGATTCGGCGCGACTCGGCGACTGTGTGTGGAAAAAGGAGCAGCTGACGGCTTCAGTGGGAATTTTTGGGATGTCCTTGCGTGAGAAAAACTTCCCAAAAATTCAGGAACTCGTTTTTGCATAGCTCTTTGTCACCCAGCCGAAGAGCGGCGAATGAGAAACACTCTCAAACCTTCTCAATTGATGTTCGCGATCATTATTTCTGTTACTTCAAATTGATAAAATAACTTACACTTGACAAATTAATGTCATCTGTGACATATTAAATTGCAAGAGTGCTTGAATTGAATTAGATCACAAACTTCTGAACGAGTGGATTAAAACAATAAATAAAAAAAGGTTGTAATTAAATAAACTTGAAAAAACTCATTTCAGAAATCGATTATCCCTTAAAAATGCTATATTTTGGTCAATATTTACTCATTTGCACATAAAGTTTAACTGAAGTAATCTTTTTATAGACCGCTAAAGGGTTAACTGCAAATGTAGTTCATTTTTTTTGACTGATTTACGAATTATTATTATCTTTCTCACGGCGAAATAACAATCATTTCAGCTACAATTCATCTCTATCGGTTCGGAAATCAAGAAGAGTAGCTTAAAAGTGTAAAAAATGCCTCACAATTTCCTGAATAATCACAATTTTCTCTCCAATTTCTACTCTCCAGCTCTATCCGGTGGCC